CTCAATCACCCCAAATGGGATACTGTGTATATATACACACACAACCTAGCGGACAAGTCCAACTAAGCTGCTTGAGACTAGATGACTTTGTTCTTGGCTTGTGTTTTTATTTTTCCTGTAATTACAATTAACTTTTAAAAAATAAAACTAATTAAAAAACAACAATAAGACAGGGAAAATGGTGGGGGCTGTGGCTCCATAATAGAGTGTCACTCAGTTCAATCCCCTGGCCGCACCCCCCTCAAAATAAAGCAGATTGAAGTGCAGGACACAAGTAGAACACACACACACACACACACACACACACACACACACACACACACAAAATATCTTACTCTCTATCTCTTCCCAGGGGAAGAGGAAGAGCTGCTTTCCTCGTCTTATTTATTTATTTACTTACTTATTGACACGAAAAACCTTGCTAGAAGCCTCCTGGCTCCCTCTGAGTGAAAGTCTCCCCTCCCAGGCCAGAGCTAGGCCCTGCACCATGCTGAAGGCACTCACTCAGAAGAACAGGGGATCAGCCAGTATGAGGCCCACTGGAATTTATCCTTGAGTCACACAGGGCAAGGATGTGCACCAGAAAGACTCTAGGGCTCTCTTGGACAACACCTCCCCCCCCCTCCCTGCCATCTCTTCTGATCAGGTATCACCTTTCACAGGTGTGGTCCCCATGGTGATGCTGGTACTGCCTGCGGACTGCCCCAGGTGTCTCTTCATGGACCATTCTTTGAGCTGGAGGGAACCCATCTTGGCTCATTTTGCAGGCTTGCAAAGGACTCCTTTTGGGGACAGTCAGCCACAAGGACCTCAGCATGCAATTGGGCGCCACCCTGGGGTGAGGATGGCTGAGGTCAAAGCCTGGAGAAAGGTGGCCACCCACAGCTAGATAAAGGAGGGAGTCAGGAAGGAAACACTGCCACCTGCTGACAGGCAGGGGAAAACCCTGGAGAGGAGGTGGGTGGGGTGGCCTCCAGTTCTCCACCGAATCTTCCCAGAACTGGAAAGTGTTGCAAAGTCACTTGCTTTGTTTTTTAAATTAAAACAAAAGTCCTAGTGTGCATGAGCAAGAAAGGATAGATGATGAGTGGATGGAATTACAGTGCAAAGTTGTAGAAGTGGGATCCTCTTGCCTCAGCCTCATGAGCCTCTGGGATTACAGGCATGCACCACCAGGCCTAGTGACTTGTCTTGTTTGTAATTGTGTTACTTTATTGTGGAATTGTAGGAGCTCTTTATATATTATGAATGTTCACCTCTTATCAAATATAAACAATTTGAATCTACTTTCTCAGCTTAAGTTTTCACTTTGTTGATTGTGTTATTTGATGCAAAGAAGCTTTTACACTTGATGCAGTGCAATTTACGTATATTCTCTTTGTTGCCTGTGCTTTTGGTGTCAGATGATTGTCAAATCAAGCATCATAAAGTTTTCCCTGTTTTCTTCTAAGAGTGTTATAGTCATAGGGGTTTTTTTTTTTTTTTTTTTTTTTTTTTTTTTTTTTTTTTTTGCTTATTTGTTTGTTTGTGGGTTTTTTTTCTGTGTGTTTGTGGGAGACGGGGTGGTTCAGTTCTCCTAGGACTGAACCCAGGGCTTTGTCCATGCAAGGCAAGCATTCTAGCAACTAAGCTATGTCCCCAGCCTTTATCTTTCTATCTATGTACCTACCTACCTATCTATCTATTTGTTGAATTTTCACAGGTTCAGAAGTTTGCCTTGGAGAAATATACATCCACCACAATAAAACAACATTAACAAAGCTTCACAGACAGAAGAAGAAAGCACTTTAGAGCTCCACTGAGCTGAATCTGAACTTGTGAGTGTGCCATATCTAGAATGTTGAATGTCCCCAGAGGCCTATAGGTTGAAGACTTGGTCCCCAGCCTATGGCACTCTTGGGACATGGTGGCACATTTAGGCAATGGGGCCTAGTGGAAGGAAGGTAGGTCACTGGGGAGCACTGGCCCCCAGCCCTTTGCTCTTTGCCTCCAGGCTGCATTGCAGTGGCAGTTCCTCCACTGCTTGCACTCACCATGATGTCCTGCCTCACCACAGGCCCAAAGACACTAGGGCAAGTTACTATGTACTACTCAAATCATGAGTCAGCAACATTTCCCTCCTTATGTAAGTTCATTATCTCAGGTGTTTGAGTAAGGTGAGAGCAAACTAGCTCAGAGTCCCACCTTGCTGCATTGTCATGAGAACTATAAATACTGAGTTAATTTCATTCTAAAAATTTTCCAGTAGAGATCATGAGATCAAGCCATGGTAAGAAAACAGGAAGATGAAGGCCTCTGGAAGCTACTATACTAAAACTTTACCCACAGGCTGCTACAGACAGTGTTTATGAGACTTCCACCATTTCACATCAGGTATTTACAAGACAGATGGTCAAAGAGTTCAATCCATAAGTTCCAAAGTAGGAGAAAGGAGAGGTGACCATATCAAGTGACCACCTCCCATTCTCATAATGCCCAATAGGATTTTTATATTTTATATTATATTTTTGTTTTACTGGGGATCAAACCAAGGGCCTCACACATGCCTGGCAAATGCTCTAGCACTGAGCCTCATCCCCACCTCCCCATACCACTTTCAAGTGGTCTGGAGAGCCAACTGCAAAGGTATAGGATTTCCTCGGGTTTTTCAAAGAGATGGAAGGCTTAAACATACTTTTCAAGAAATCACCCATGTTAGGGTCCTGGGCACCAGTCTTGTCTGGACATTGGTTGCTGCTGACCTCTGCATACAGAGCAGTTTTATCATTGCTTTCCTGGAGAAGAATTTTTAGCAGTCCTTATTCCACCATTTTTGCTGACATCTCGCTCGTTTTTTATATTGCTTTTTATAACATGCATAGTTTGATGGAAGTTGATTTCATGCCCCCTCTTTGCACAGCACAGACAGCAAAAAGAAAATGAGAGATAGAAGTAAAAAAAAATTGCTCTTTGTATGGTATCAGTTTTTTATCTTTATAATTATTTTTGCAGTATGAAAATGAAATTATTCTACATATATATTTTACAACTTGCTGATACTTTGATACAGCCTCATGATATATGTACATTTCCTCTCATCTGTAATAGCCACAAAGTAATCCATTTCAAACATATGCTATATTTGCTGGCCATCTGGACCTGGGTCCCATTTTTTAAGCTACAGAATTTATAATACAGTAGAATTAATAGGGAAAAAGTCCATGTTATATGTGACACACCTAATAAACAGCATCACTGGCCATCCATGTGATATCTGACTAGCATTTTAGGGGCTAACAACCTCTCAGTATTACAGACATGCTACAACAAATCTGTGTGTGCCCTTTTGGACCCTGTGTGTGCCTGTGAAAACCTGAAAAGAAAGTCCTAAAAACCAATTGCCATTCAAAGCAGGTGTTCCAGTT